CAATTGTGATGGTGCAGAAAAAGACGGCGAGCCATGCCAGCACGCGGATGCTCATACCGAGCGCGTAGAAGGGCATTTTGCGGGGACGGTGTTCAAGTAGGTTTGACACCAGCAGCTGTGGCCACATCCAACCTGCTGTCATCATTGAACCGGTTAAACCCACGAGAAGATCCGAACCACTTAACTTATAGATAAAAGCAGGGAGCACCGTCGCTGAATCCGCAAACGCGAGGTTGATCCGCATGAAGGTGCCTTGGAGCAGCGCAAATCGGAAGTTTCGCCGTTCGTCACCTACTTTTTTAGGCATTCTCTTTTTTAGTCCTATTCAAATTTTGTATTATACCAAATTAACTTGATTAGAAGTCTTTTGATCAAGTCAGCATTGCGAGGCACAGGGACCTCGCGCTACAAATGGGGTTAATTTGGTATTATAACCGCAGCAATCAGAAATTCTGCACTTTATCTTTTGACATGATTTTCGCAATTAGGTTGAATTGAAATTTTAATTGTTGTCTGGTACTCAAACATAAATTTTCTTTACAGTGTGCGAGGTTGTGCTAAATTGCATACAAACATTTATTTTTTTATGGCTGTCAGCAGAATAGCTACTCCGCCGAAAGCCAAAAAAGGAAACAGATATGGAACCTCTTCGGATTGGATTTCTCGGTGCCGGAGGATTTGCACGGCACACCATTTATCCCGCACTTCATCTCGCCCCAGTTGCTTTACAAGCCGTTTGCGATGCCGATGAAAATCGCGCTAAGGACGCTGCCGGCAAATTCGGCACAGGTAGATATTACACCGATCGGCACGAAATGTTTGAAAAAGAAGACTTAGAAGCAGTCATTATCTCCATGGGACCTGACCCGAGACAGCCACTTGTGCTTGAAACACTTGCGGCGGGGTATCATGTATTCACACCAAAACCGCCAGCACCCGTCTCTCGCGGAAACGATCACCTTGGCAGAAACCGCAGAAAAACACGGTAAGACACTCATGGTGAACTTCCAGCGGCGGTTCAGCCTCGGTGTGCGAGAGGCAAGGCAAATCATGCAGACCGAATCCTTCGGGCAACTCACCCAACTTTTTGCTCGTTCTGTAGTGGGAAATATCCGACGGTCAAAAGTTATCTGCTTGATTTCGCCATCCACCATTTCGACTTAGCGAGGCATATCGCCGGTGCGGATGTGAAAGAACTCAGCGTTTTTCACAACGAGGTTGATGGGCAAGGCGCATTCGCTGTCGCCGTAGAATATGCAAACGGCGCGGTTGGAAGTTTGCAGTTGAGCAGTCAACGCTTGTGGCAGCGCAATTATGATTACATCGAAATTACCGGCCAGCACGAATACATCGTTTTAGACGGGTTGTGGGGTGCGCAACACTTCACCGAATCTGGGAACACCTTCACCTCAAACTTCTCTGATCAGCGAAATGGCGAATTGACTGGCGATGGCGTTAGCCTTACTGAGTTTGTCAATGCGATTCGTGAGGGTCGGGAACCGGTATCAAGTATCCAAGACTGCGTTGGCACAATGCGGTTCTACGATGCCGTACTCCAACGCAAAAAAGGCGTTATTAGCCTTTAACAATCGGCTTTCAGCCTTCAGCAGCTCGTGTGGCAGTTGAGAACGTTTGCAACTGCCACATACTGACTGCTGACAACTATTCTGCCGCATTGATGCTTTCCAAAACCGCAAGACACGTCTCTCCATAACCAACGATGATAATATTGGACAATCCGTTCATAAAGTCTTTATTCTATTCAAACCGCATTGGTGATGTTGCCCCCAGCGGGGGCACATAGTGCATGCATTGGAGAAAATAGTCCAAACCAGCTCTCCCAGGTCTGTTCGGCTCGCGGCCAAATCGCCCCTCCAGCACGCATGCCTGTATCGTCGGTCAGGGTCTCGGATTCATACGCTTGTACCGGTATCGGTGATACTCTTGTAGTCATCAAGAGACGAGATTGCGTGTGGTGTTAGAAATCGGAGCACCGTTGCGAAGGAATAGGCGAAATCGCATTTGAAGAGCTCTGTGCTGGCATCATAGTTCGGTGAGCGGACGATATCAGCGGCACGTTCGCGGAGTTTCACGGTTTCAATGATGTTAATCCGAGCATTGTCGTCTTTGACTCGACGAATGCGATTAACGAATTCCAGTGTGTATTCTCTTGCACTTTTACCGTTATCGGGATGTCCGCTTCTACAATCTCGGCATATCCGTTCATCAGACGTTCAGATGTGGTGCGAATGGTGGGTGTGACGCCTGCTTCGTGACATATTCGATGCAGGAGAGTGCCCCTTTGTGTGTAATCCCCGGTACATGAACAGAATTCACCAAAAGGAGTTTCCAATCGTGAAACGGTTCTATGCTCTCCTGACTAACAATAACGCCGGAGTCCTGAAGTTCACCAAACGGGACGCGTAGCATGTCGTCTAAATCTTCCAGAATAAGCGGTGTTGCAGATAGTGTCTCCGCGTATGTTATTAATTCATCAGAATGCTCAATTTGTGCGCGTGCGGATGCCTGAATTTCATCAGGAACGGCATAGACTTGTGGCACGAGTCGGTCGCCCATTTCGTTAAGAAAGCCGACATTTGTCTCCAACCACTTCGCGTAATCATCGCTCCGTCTTGGATATTCGTTGCAAAGAATATCGCGAATAACATCGCCATTATTTCGGAGGTTATCTGTATTGATGACACAGAGTGTCGCGTCTGTACCGTGGTGGCAAAAATAGCGGTAGAGGGTCTCATCCAGCACATCCATCGCCAGTTCACCCTTAGCGATCCCAGCTTCGGTTACACCGATAAGGATAAGGTCAAGCGGATTTTCGGCTTGGGCATAGAACTGCTCACGACCGGCTTCTGTAGCGAGCGTAGTCGCACCGACAACGCTCGAAACCTGTCGGATATCGTGGATACCACTTAGGTCAAACGTGACGACATGATATATTCCGTTTTGTTGGTTAAAGGCATCGGCTTTCTCAGTGCCACGTGGCTGTCCGACGAAGATACCGCCGTTATAGAGATTCCGTTCGTTGAGGATATGGACAAATTCGTGGGTCAGGGCGCGTTGTAAACCGCCTGCCCCGATAGCAAGGATCTTAGTTGGGAGCATGTGTATTTTCTCCTTTAGACAGAATATCAGCATAGAGGGCTAAATAAGCGTCGGCTATGTTTTTCCAATCGTACGGTTCAACACGTTCAATGCTCGCTTTGCCCATCTCAACGCGGCCTTCACCGGCGTTAATTAGTTTGATAAGAGAGCTCGCAAGCCCGTCAACATCTCCCGGATCGAACAGCGCGCCGTTAACGCCTTCTACGACAAGTTCATCAATGCCTTGAACGCGGCTGGCAACAATCGGGAGTCCTGTCCCCATCGCTTCTAAAACGACGAGTGGCATCCCCTCCGCGAGTGAGGGTAAAATGAAGATATCCGCATCTTGGTATTTTTGTGGCAATTCCGAATACGGTACTGAACCCGCAAAGTGGATGTGTGAGGCTACAGCGAGGCTTTCCGCCAATTTCAGGAGTTCTCCGTGATACGGACCATCGCCGACAATTTCAATTTCAAAGTTTGTGTGCTGCTTTTTCAATAATCTGAGGCAGCGCGCGAATTAGAAATTGGAATCCTTTGCGCGGAATGAGCCGCCCGATTGTGAGAATCTGGACTTTTTTTGGACAGGCATTGCGTTGTTCCCGCTCCGCAGTAACGGGTGGGGACCTCGGCTTAAAACGCGCTAAGTCTAAACCGTCAGGAATCACATCCATTTTCACATCCGTATCCGTTTCCTGTGCAAGTTCGCGTAAGCCTTCGCTACACGCGACGACGACTGAAGCATTGCGCCAAATCGCTCGGATGGCCGGTTTCAGGAGCAGATATAACCACCGATAATACGGCGGATCAGGGTTGCGGCTCGGTACGTCCCGTCCCCCCAGAAATACGACATACGGCACGTTGCGACGTTTTTGCAGAAGATATGCGCCGCCACCGGCAGGAATACCGAAAAAGACTTGGACGATATCGGGTTGAAACTGTTTAGCGAACCGCAATCCATAGAGACTTGAGCTTATCGCGTAAGTCAGCATTTCGTGGACGGCACATACATCAGGATTTTTCCGAAGTGCACGTACGCGATGCACGTGAAAGCCTTCCACCTTCTCGTCTTTCGGGCAATCGCGAAATTGTGAAGTAATCAGATGCACATCGTGTCCTGCCGCCGCGAAGTGTTTGCCTAAAAAGTAGCTTACCCAACCACCACCGCCACCGATCGGTGGAAATTCGTGATTGAACATCAAGATTTTTTTCGGGGTATCATCCATACATACAACCGTTTTTCTAATAGACATTATAGCGATTTAAAAACACATTCTGCTAATTAACTTTTAGTAAATTCACATTTCACGTTGTTATTTCTTAGAGATTGTAATTTGCTAGTTCTGTCCTTGTTTTTTCGCTTTTAAGCAAAATGTGCCTATAAGATAGCGAAAAATAGATGAACACAGACACACAATTAAACCAATATAATGTCTAATGATCGGCCGTTGTACATCGTTCCACTACGTTTCACGATGGTTTTTGATTAAGGAAACCGAATAAACCAGAAACCTGCCCGAAATGTAATAGAGGGCAGCACGAAGACCGATCATTTATAGTGAAGCTCGAAAATAAATGGACATTTCAGTAACCTGTGGGAGGGGTTTCTAACCCCGACCTCCCTTGTCTACGCTGGCGAGGTTTTGCGGCGTACACGCCCAAATGCGATCTGCATTCCTAACCTCGCCAACTCAAGTGTATAGTTAATTGTGGGCTTTACTATAAAAAGGATTCGCGTGCATCAACGGTTTTGTGCAAACGTCGTTGCAAATTCGATAATCGCAGCTGCAATATCAAGTCCAGTGACCGATTCCAGTTCCTCAAAACCGGGAGACGGATTGACCTCCAGAACAACAGGTCCGTCGTTCGTTTCAAGTAAATCGACACCGGCTATTTCTAATTCAAGCGCAGCTGCGGCTTTTATAGCGAGGCGGTTGTATTTCATCCGGTAGCATGAAGGCTTTTCCTGACGCGCCTTTGTGAATATTCGCACGGAATTCGCCCGGCGGCGCGCTTCTTTTCATCGCCGCGACTGCTTCATCGCCTACGACGAGGACACGGATGTCAACCCCGTCTGCTTCCGTAACGAAAGACTGAATCACATAATCGTGATGGAGATCACACAACGCGCCCACTGTCGACGTGAGCGATGTCGGTGTATCTAACAACATAATACCTCTGCCGTGTGTTCCGTAAAACGGTTTTAAAATAAACGGATAATCTCCCATTTCGGCTACGGTGTCTTCTAAAAATGCAGCGGAACCGACAGTGAGACTCGGTGGGATGGGTAAGTCGTGCTGTGCGAGGATACGTAGGGAGTGGAATTTGTGCCGTGCTGCAGCGATCGGTTTTGCGCGATTGATTACAGGGGTGCCGATCCATTCAAAGTGTGCTACGACCTCTTCGCCGTATTGCACTGTTGTGCGACTGAGCCGTGGCATTATAACATCAAAATCCCCTACTGGTTTTCCGTGATATGTGATGCGGTTCCGGGTGCCACCGACATAGAGGTAAAAACCGAAAGGGTCTAAAATTTCAGCGGCATGTCCTGCATTGAGAGCAGCTTCGGTGAGGCTGCGCGTAGAGTGGTTTTGAGGTCCCCGGGAGAGGATACCGATTTTCATAGTATTGTGTCGGGACATAGCATCAAGGCACTATGCTATCTCGGTGACGGTGAAGACCCACCGACAAGCAGCTCCAACGGCTCCGTTGATTCTCGCAAACGTTTCAGTGCCACCTCTCCTTGACAGCGGCGTTCGTTTTGAAGTTCAGATACACGTGTTCTGAAAAGCAGCATCGTCTCAGCGACCCCCGGTCGGTGACAGCACCGGCGAGCACGCCTCGAACAATCAATTGGACATTTTTTAGTGCGGGGTTTTGTTGAACAGAAAACGTTGCGCATTCGTTGATCAGAGAGCGATATTCGTTTAGTAAGTCGGGTCCTACAAGGGCATTGCTCTCTGTGACCAACAACTCGGCATTCAAGACAAAACCGAAAGTGTTATCCTTTCCGTCCTCGTCAAAAATACTATAGCGATCATTGACAAACATAAAAATATACTTGTGATCGCCTGCTAAAAAATCCTCAACGTAAAACCTTTTACCATACCAATCTTTCGTCGGAACAATAGTGCCCTTCTCAATACACTCATTATAATGCGATTCGTCAGTTGTGTAATACGCATCAACCATAGGATATAAACCTTTCAACTATAGTGGGGGTGATGCGCCGACGCACCACTCGGTCAGAATTTAGAATATTATCTTCTTAATTGGGTATCAACTTTCGTCTACCTTATACGTAGTCGTCAGAAAGTCTGCTAATTCCTCAAAGGTGTCAAAAATCCGATCACACAAGTTCTCAAAGAAGATACTCCGCGTGCCAGTGTAAACTGCATACACCGGTTTGTTATGGCGAGAAGCGTAGTTCATCTCACTGAGGACACCGGGAGATAATTTGTCCGTAGGATAGATGACAACTACAAAATCGCTTTGATGGACGAATTGATAATCCCGGGAGATTGTTCGCGTTTTAATCTGTTGGATCACGTCTTCACCCATCTCACTCATAGTTGGAGGTATATCCTCTGTGCCACTACTCCCTTCTCCGCCAGCGGTCACCAGTGCCATATCTTTAATTGTGAGCGGATCAAAGACAATAAAGGAGCGACTCAGTTTTTCGCCAATCTCTCGGATTTTCTCAATTTCCTTGGGCGTATCTCTTAAAAGTGTAATCGGGTAACTGAGGTAAAATTTCGGTTTTGACGAAAAGAGCAGCTCATAAAAATTCTCAAGATTGTGTTGCCTTGCGACAGTGTAGTATGACTTTTCCGTGAGATTTGCGATTTGCCGCGTCAGGAACTCCTCCTCGTCCAACCAGACATTGAGTGTCGCATTACCCATCCCTGACCATTGTGAACTTTCTTGCATCCGTTCCGATATATCGGCGATATTGTCAACGACGTTAATCAAGAGGTCGGGTAGAAGGATTTCAATATCTTTGAAAGAAAACCCTTCAATGAGGCTCCCGCGCCATCGAAAGCAGCCGTGTAACCCGATGATGGCATGTTCATAGGATTCGGCGCGTCGTGCGATTTCGTAGAAAGCAGTGCGCCTCGCCAACGATAGTACTGCTGGATCCGAATCGAGAACTTTGTCTGTAAAATGGACACGGGCTTCCGCAGCGGCGCGGTGCATAACATCGCCGACGCTGAAGAATCCGATGCTCAGTTTTCTTTTCATGCAGAGTATCTTAAAATTCGCCATCAACTCTTTGCGACCCGAACAGCTGATGCCAGTACAGACAATTTTCATAATTTCAAATACCACCTTTTGGTTGACTGTAGACAAATACAAGGAACTGGAAAGACACTGAGACATCGCCTTACGTAAACGGATGCGTCTTATACTCGCTCTACCGCTAACGATTTCAGTGCCGCGAGTGCTTCTTGCTCCTCAGTCTGCCACGGACGCTTCGCCGGTTTATCCTGTTTTTGTGGGGGTCCACTGAAGACGAGGATATACGCTCTACGTGCTTCTGCTGTGCTATTCGGCGCGGAATAGTGTAAAGTCCGACAGTGGTGAAACGTCGCACCGCCCGCGGGTATCGGGCAAGCAGCTGCCTCTGATACATCAACATCATCTGTCACTAAGCCGTGTACAAGTGGATCATTGTCGATGTGCCGATGCCAACGCACATCACCCTTGTGCGATTTTCGGGATGAATTGGAGACACCCACTCTCAAACGTCGCTTTATCAAGCGGAAGCCAGACACTCAGACTATGCGGCAAGACTTCGGGGTTCCAGTACGCTTCATCTTGATGCCACGGGGTTTCATTGCCGTAGTGTGCGGGCTTTAAAATCATGTGTCCGCCGCCGCTAACCTTTTCAGTCTCTACACTGAGCAATTTCGCGGCGAGCCGCTGCGCATTTTGGAAATAGACAGTCTCGCGGAGTTCAGGGAATTGCGCCTCTGGACCCAATACTTGTGGCAAAGTTTCCTGTCCGTTGTGTGCCCGTGGACCCGCAAGATCAAAATAGCGACCCTGTGCTTCACCAGTGCGATCCGTAAAGAGTTCATCGTAAATGCCCTTGAGCCATTCAACCTCTTCATCTGTTGTGATACGCGGGATGCTCAGGTATCCGTTCTCTTGAAAGAAGGCGATTTGTTCGTCAGTTAAGTCAACGCGAAAGTCAGTTTTGGATTTCATAAGATCACCGAATTAAAATATCATAAGGTAAGATTGTCACGATTTGTGTTCCATCTTCAAAACCAAACAGGCTCAGCCACGTAATGATATGCTGCGACTGCGTCCCTAACATAGACAGCAGAGGATGACTTGATGCCAATTGTAGCGGAAGCTGAATTGAACCCTCCGTATCTTCAAGTATCTGCTCCATTAGCTGTTCAAAAAGGGGACGCTGCTTTGGTAAAATGATAAGATTAACTTTGTCGTCCTCAGCGAACCCTGCCTGTTCCTTGGCAATAGACAGCGCAGTATCAAGCCCCCCGAGTTCATCAACGAGCCCGATCTCCTTCGCCTGTTTACCTGTCCAGACACGTCCTTGTGCGATCTCATCAATGTCGTCAAAGGACTTACCTCTGCCCGCTGCCGCCTTGCTGACAAAATCTTCATAGACGGTTTTCATCATCTTTCCGACGCGTTCCCGCTCGGTCGGTGTAAAACCGCCGTAGTCCGAATAGAGGGTGGCGTTCTGCCCGTGTGAGATAATCTCCTTGGTCAAACCGGCTTTGTTATAAAGTCCCTTCAGATTCAGTTTACCGCCGAATACACCGATTGAACCCGTCAGTGTACTGGGGTGTGCAACAATCGTTCCGGCTGCCATCGCTATATAGTAACCACCAGAGGCAGCAACATTCCCCATCGAAACCACAACCGGTTTCTCGCGTTGTGTGAGCATCACCTCTCGCCAAATCAAGTCAGAAGCGAGTGCAGAACCGCCAGGACTGTCTATACGTAGCACGACTGCCCGAACGGAATCGTCGGTGCGTGCTTTCTGAAATGCCTTCTTTAATGCGTCCGGCGTAATCGCTGACATTAAGATGAAAGGCGAATCAATATCGGGTAAAATGGGGCCGCTGGCATAGATAAGCGCGATCTGATTCTCGCCAGCAGCACGCGCACGCTGAGGTGGATTCAACATACTGAACAGCTGCATAAGTCCAGCTAAACTATTCATATCGGGGACCGTCCGCTTACGTTCAAAACTCGGCTTGACGACCTGTACCTCTTCGTCTTCAGATGCAGCTTTTAGCGCCGTCACTAATTCGTCGTAGTATTGCAAAGCGTCAACTAATTTTTCCTGCTTTGCTTCTTCTGCTGTGAACGGACCACGATTTATCAAATCCGATGCACTCTCTTCAGTGATGCCTTCTCGACTCTCAGCGATGTGGTTCAGCAATTGGGCGTACAGATCATCAAGCAGCGCAGTCATTGACTCACGGAATTCATCCGACATGCCATCGCGCATATAGGGTTCAACACCAGACTTGTATTTCCCCATTGCCAACATGTCTGCCTCAATATCCAATTTGTCCAAAAGTCCTTTGTAAAAGAGACTTCGGCGCGTAAGCCTGTTAGATTGAGACTTCCGGTAGGCATAAGAACGATGCGATCCATTGTCGCAGCGAGAAGATATTCGGCGTTACCACCGCTTTCGAGATAACCGATCGTCTCTTTTCCTGCATCGCGGAATTCATGCAGTTCGGTACGGATTTCTTGGAGCACTGCCCACCCTAAGCTGACACCGTCTATTTTGAAGATAATACCGGCAATATCATCATCTGTTTTGAGCGCATCTAATTTCTTAAAAAGCCCCCGCAGTGTCTTTGTTGAGGTGGTGCTGAAGGTGCTGACTGTTTTGGTGTCAGCATAGGTGCCACCCAGTGTGAACTCAGCATATTTTTTGACAGGAAGCGTTGTCTCGGTTTCCGCCTCTTCCTCAGCAAATATCGGAGAAACGAGGAGAAGCAATACCAGCAGAGACGCGCACATTCGTAATAATTTCATCAATCTATCCTTCTTTTTAGTATCTGATTTAACATTGCTATTTTACCATACAATAAGTCCTGCGTCAAGTTGTAAATTCTCTTGCGTAGTGTAATTTTGCTGCTGGTTCATGCGACTGCTTTCTATTCTCCGATGTGCTGTGCGACGAGTGTTAAATCCAAGATGTTGACGATGCCGTCACCGTTGAGATCTGGTGAACTCTCTCCAAAACGTGAAGCAACAGCAGTCAAATCCAAGATATTCACGACACCGTCTTCATTGATATCCCAAGGCGTTTGGGCAAGATACGGCGCGAGGTCCCATAAGAGAATGCTGGCATAATTTGAGCTGACAAGGCTACGGCTATCGGGCCAAAACGCTAAGGCAACGGTTTCAGACGTAGGTCCACCTAAGGTTGTGAATAGATCTTCGGTGTGAACATCCCACACATAGATGCCGTGGCCCATGCAAGGTGCAGCAACGATTGCGCCATCTGTGGAGAACGCTGACATAGCATAGTACCCCGTACGCCCCCAAAGCGTCGTGCGGCGTTGACCGGTATCTGCATCCCACAAATAGACACCGTGACCGTTTATACTAGCGATTGTTTTTCCGTCAGGTGAAAACGTCACATCACCAATTGAACCATCGTCATCTTGAATAGTCGTGCGGAGTTCGCTGGTGTTCACATCCCACAACTGAATCTTGCCATCGTCTCCTCCTCCCATAAGGGTTTGACCGCCCGGCGAAAATGCCAGTGATACACCAGTTGTGTGAGTATTGAGGGTAGATCGTCTGGTCCCGGTCTCTGTATCCCACAAATAAATTAGCCCTATTAGCATTCCCGCCGCTCGCCAAAATCTTGCCATCTGGGGAGAAGGAAATAGCATAACCATGTCCGAATGTCCTTCAAGGGTAACGCGTAGTTTTCCAGTAGCCACATCCCACAACCGGACTGTTCTGTCCCAGCTCCCACTTGCAAGGGTACTACCGTTAGGTGAAAATGCTAAAGCAGTAACATCTCTCGAATGCCCAACGAGCGTAGCGAGTTTTTGATCTACAACGACATCCCATAGCCAGATTGTATCTGACTCGTTCCCAATTGCAATAGTTCTCTTATCCGGTGAGAATGCCGCGGGTCCCAAACGCCAATGCCCTGTGATAGTAATGTGTTGTTCTCCTGTATCCGTCTCCCAAAAACGAATTGTCTCGTCGTCGTAAACTTGCACTTGCGAAAGTTTTGCCATCCGGTGAAAACACGATCCAATCAACAGAATCTGTATGTTTCCAGAGGGTAGTACGCAGTTTTCCTGTATCTGCTTCCCATAATCGGATGGTCTGGTCATAGCCACCACTTGCGAAGGTTTTACCATCCGGCGAAAACGCCACAGATGAGACAATTCTCGTATGTTCAGTGAGGATCTCGCGTACGGAACGGGTGTCTATATTCCATAACAGAACCGTTTTGTCCCAGCCCCCACTCACGAGTGTTTTACCATCCGGCGAAAACGCCACAGATGAGACGCGATCCATGTGTCCTTTGAGAGTCGCACGGTGCTGTCCGGTGGCTACGTCCCACAACTGAATCATGTTGTTCCAATCACCGCTAACGAGGGTATTCCCCATCCGGCGAAAACGCCACTGACGAAATAAAAGGCCCTCCTTCAAGAATAGATCTATACTGTCCAGTTTCCATATCCCAGAGTCGTATTGACCCATCACCACTTGCACTTGCGAGTGTTTTACCATCCGGTGAGAACGCCAGTTCCCAGACTTCAAGCTGCCCTGTTTCTGCTAACACTAACGCGATTTCTGGGGGTCTTGTCAAGGTAGTAAGGTGCTCTCCGGTATCCGCATCCCACAACCGAATCTCGCTATCTTCTCGCCACCAATTCCATTTTCTACCTGCACCGCTTGCGAGAATTTTTCCATCGGGCGAAAATGCAACAGACAAAACCGTTTCCGTATGTCCAGTGAACAACGCGAGTTCTTCGCCGGTGTGCGCATCGTATATCCAGACACCGATAGAACTTCCAACAGCGAGTCGAGTGCCGTCCGGTGAATACGCTATACCGCCGTTTATTCCTCCTTTGCCTATGCGGTGTTTCGCGCCTTCGGGTAAACCCATTTGGGTGTATTCTTGGGCATAAGTGTTCGACAGAAATAGGGCGATAATTGAAAACGCCACCAAACTAAAAAATCGCGTCTGGATAGTGCTGCAAAGGCGAACGCTCGTGGAAGGTATGACTACACGGAAACGGAGTTGCTTAGACTTCATAGGGTCACCTCCTATTCTCCAATGTGTTGTGCTACCAACGTCAAATCCAAAATATTTACAATGCCGTCACCGTTGATATCTGGTGTTTTCTGCCCGAAGCGTGAGGCGACGAAAGTTAAATCTAAAACGTTTACAACACCATCTGCGTTGACATCCCACGGTCTTGGTATAGATGTTAGGGGCCACAACTGGATTGTGCCATCAAGGCTGGCACTTGCGAGTGTGTTCCTATAGGTGCCGTGGCTATCTGGTAGAAACGCTAAAGCAAGGATTGGCGCGGAATCACCTTCAAAAATTGCTTGTAATTGTCCTGTTTGTGGATGCCACAGACGGATTGTGTTATCCCAACCCGCGCTTGCGAGTGTGTTGCCATAAACGCTGCCCAAATCTGGCGAGAATGCTAAGGCGAAAACTGGATCGGTATATCCATCAACGGTTGTCAGGATTTGACCGGTGTGTGTATTCCATATATGAATTGTGCTTTCTGCGTCTGGACTCCAATATCCGCCGCTCGCTAAAGTTTGATTATCAGGCGAGAAGGCGAGTGCTGTGATTGAATCTGTATGTGCGGAGAGGTTGTGTCGGAGTTGAACTGTTTCTACGTCCCATAACAAGATCGTGCCATAAAAACTTGTACTGGCAAGTGTTTTGCTATCAGGTGAGAATGCTAATGTGGTGACCATATCCCGGTGTCCTTTAAGAACTGAGACACGGATAGACTGGTCTGTTGTTAAGTCCCAGAGACGAGTTTCTCTGAAACTTCCACTGGCGAGGGTATTACCATCGGGTGAGAATGCCAACGCTACAACAGGATAGGTATGCCCTATGAAATCTTTTCTGTGTTCACCGGTGCGTGTGTCCCAGAGGTGGAGAGTAGCATCTCCGCTCGCGCTTGCAATTGTCTGATTATCGGGTGAGAACGCCAACGCTACCACATTATCCAGTGGTGCAGAAAACAGTGCCAGTTCTTTCCCAGTGTAGGTATCATAAAGGGTAATACCACTTTCGGTTGCAACAGCGAGTTTCGCGCCATCAGCGGAGAAGGCTATGGCATTTGGCACCATTGTATCATCAAAGGGTGCCGCGTCGACTTCTGGCACGCGCCATTGCGTTCCATTTTGGGCAGAACTGCTGGGTAGGAACGCGGCATAAATGAATAGAAGGGTAAAAATTAGGAACTGTCGCACGTTGAATTTCCCTCCCGCTTACCGGATGGGCAAGCGGGTTCCTGATAAAGCTTAGCATTCCTTCGCCGATTGCACCACATACGTACGAGGGAAACATCACCGCGACAATCTGATTAAAGGATATATCTACTCAAATCCTGGTCTTGAACGATTTCAGCCAACTCTGATTGGACATGGTCGGCATCAATGGTAACTTCTTCTTTATCGAGGTCAGGTGCGTCGAAAAAGAGATTTTCAAAGAGTTTCTCCATGATGGTGTGCAAGCGGCGTGCGCCGATGTCTTCAACCGATTCATTAACTTGGAAAGCGAGCGCGGCGATTTTGTCAATCGCGTCGTCGGTGATAGTCGCTTCTATCCCTTCAGTTTTAAGGAGTGCTACGTACTGTTTCACTAACGCGTTTTTCGGTTCCGTTAGGATAGATTTGAAGTCATCCTTATTGAGGCTTTTCAGTTCTACTCGAATCGGAAATCTACCCTGTAGCTCTGGGATGAGGTCAGACGGACTTGAAACATGAAACGCACCGGCGGCGATGAACAGAATGTGGTGTGTGCGCACTGCGCCGTATTTCGATGTCACCGTGCTACCTTCAATGATGGGCAGGATATCGCGTTGCACACCTTCCCGCGAGATATCGGGTCCGTGTCGAGATTCTCTACCTGCGATCTTGTCAATTTCGTCCAAGAAGACAATACCGGAGTTTTCAACGCGCTGAATGGCTTCGCTGATAACAGCATCCATATCAATGAGTTTTTCGGCTTCCTCTTGCATCAGGATGGTGCGTGCCTCGGAGACCGGAATCCGTCGTTTCTTGGTCTGATTCGGGAGGATGTTACTAAACATATCCTTAAAATTGATATCCATCTCCTCAATGCCGCCGGGCGAGAAGATTTCAACAAAAGGCATACTCTGATCCTTGACATTGATTTCAACGGGTTTATCCTCAAGCCTACCTTCGCGTAGCCACTCTCTAAATTTCTCGCGGGTTTTGAGGTGCCGTTCTCGCTCTTTATCTCGGTCTTCTTCGGCTTCGGTTTCCGCATCGGGTCCAAGGTCGAAAGGCAGCTGGAGGACCACGTCATCATCCTCTTCTTCGGGTTCGTCAAGCATATCCTTTTCTAAGCGAGGACGCTCCTGCAAAGAGCGTGGAATAGGAAAGATACAATCAAGGAGGCGTTCTTCAGTGAATTCCCGTGCTTTTTCCTCAACTGCCTCGGTCTGTTCGGCTTTGACGCGGCTAATGGCTGTCTCAGTGAGATCACGAATCATGGATTCAACGTCGCGACCAACGTAGCCAATTTCGGTATATTTTGACGCTTCTACCTTGATGAAAGGCGCGTCAACAAGACGTGCAAGCCTGCGTGCAATTTCCGTTTTGCCGACACCTGTTGAACCTATCATGATAATGTTCTTAGGCGATACCTCGTCTTGTATATCTTCTTCTAACATCTGTCGCCGGGCGCGATTGCGGAGGGCAATAGCGACACAACGTTTTGCCTCAAACTGCCCGATAATATATTTATCCAATTCCTCAACAATCTGCCGCGGCGTGAGTGCATCTGCTAAAGTGCTCTTTTCACGCGTTGTATTTGATTTCTCCAAGGTTAACCTCCCGAAAATTATTAACCCTATCAGTTGTTTCATAACCGCTTTGTATGGATAATGCCCGGCAGCTTCCGTACAATTAGGTGTATGAGATAGGTTAGGCGATGCGACTCGGATAGCACCGCGCTACATCTCTATTGTATCAATTTCAATTCGTGCATTGGTATAGATACAAATTTCACTTGTGAGTTGGAGTGCCTCCGAAACAATCTCTTTTGCGGTCAAGTCTGAGTATTTGAGCATAGCTTTTGCCGCTGCAAGTGCCATAGATGAACCTGACCCGATGGCGAGGACATCGTCGTCCGGGGCAATTACATCGCCGTTCCCAGAGATGAGGTAACTGTCGTTGGCATCTACAGCGATCATTAGCGCGTCTACTTGCCTAAGGATCCTATCGCTGCGCCATTCCCGTGCAAGTTCTACCGCTGATTTCTGAAGATTCTCCACGGTACTGCTCAAGTTTTTTCTCCAAATTTTCATAGAGTGTGATTGCATCCGATGCGGAACCTGCGAAACCGATCAGCACTTTGTCGTTATGGATTTTGCGAATTTTGCGGGCGCCATGTTTAATCGCTGTATCGCCTAAAGTGACTTGACCATCGCCTGCAATAGCGACTTGCGCATCGCGCCGAACGGCTAAAATCGTTGTTGAACGAATTCGCATACTTGTGATTTCCTTTTCCTGCGGTTGTTAAAAGCTCTTGTTGCCAAACGAATCAACTTCTTATCAATCCGCACCTATTTCCATGCGTAAAACAGCAGAAAACTGAGAAACTGCAGTGCCCCCATAAAGATGCCACACCGTATCCCTGCCACACCTGCGTGTTGCGCCCTCAGAAAACGATTAGCGACGCCAAAGAAGTACGGACACAACAAAAACGTGAATAGAAAAGCGAGGGGCACAAAAATTGGTACGGATGCAATCTGTGGTATCCGATCTATCTGCGTTGCATTCCATAGCCATAGATGTGATGCACCAAGCGCGTAAATTACGATACTTCCAACCGCAGCAGCAATCCGATGCCCGTGACACCCGCCGCCAACATCGCAGTTCCTATCAAACCGCCCCTCCGATTTTCAGAATCCGATGCGAAACGGGTTTGGCAAATCGCTGTGAGCCGCTGATAAAAGTAAGCTGCTAAGGGTCACGAACACCACCCAGTTTAAAATTATCGCAATCGGTGTCGTTGTATTCGCCAAAAAATCTGAACGCAGATAGAAGATGAGGCGCGCCTTCCGAGAAAATAACCAGTCCATCGGTGCGTAGGTTAACACCGTGCGAGCCCAAAAATAGAACTGTTGGAGAGCAGTGACACATCTTCATCAGTCTTGTGAGATACAGTAAAACAATAAAGAGACCGCAAGCAACACATTCGGATAGAGAATCCAAATAGTTTCAATACGGCTTGCTATTAAGAACGTTAAAAGCGTTGTACCTGTTACAGTGAAAACCGCTTTGTCGGTTTTGGTTCCCATACACTTTTCAGCGAATCTTTCCTGATTCCTGATTTTCTCCCTCAAACGTAATCACGAGTTGGTCGCCAGTCAATTTCGCCCCAGGTGTTTTTTTATTAGAAAGGGTTCGTGGCAATACGACGTGTTGCTTGAAGCTACCGACTGTAACAATCAATTCATCGCCATGTTTTGTCAATCCAATTTCCTCTTTACTTAAAAAAGGCAGACGTATAGACAATTGATAAGTATTTGCTGTTTTTTTGAATTGATACGGTTTTTCTTGAGAAAACTGATCTGCCGGATTAATCTCGGAATAGAGTGCCTCTGCTAATCGGTGCAGCCCATCTTCTCCCACAATTTCTTCTGCGAAGAGGTTCACCTTCCAGATTGGCACGTCCGAGAAGTAGTCCATTGCCTCTTTAATATAGTGCTGCTGCGCCTGTTTCCAAGCTTCAAAGTATGCCACATCAACGGCATCGGGAAAGATGCGATTGATAATCACTGCGTCAATACAGAGTCCATAAAGGCAAAAGTACATAAACGCTCGTTGTGTCTCTTTGATAACAATTTTTTCTGGGTTCGTTACCAAGCGCACTGTTGTTATCTTCGGGTCTGTCAGGACATTGTCAATCCCTTCCAATTTATTGAAAAGGTCTTGGATATTTTGGAAATAGTTATCTCGAGGAATGGGAACCGAACTCACTTTTTCGATTATAGGACCAGCGATCTTTGCTAAGCTACGCTCCAACTTGAAAATGTGGCTCATGTACCACTCCAACGTCGTCGGGATACTAACGAACCGGAGCGACTCCCCGGTGGGTGCACAGTCGAGGATAATTACATCGTAACTCTTTTCTCGGACATATTGGTTGATATAGAGAAGTGCGCAAATCTCCTCCATTCCCGGAACACTGCGATCTCCTCGGCAACGAGACTGTCAAGTCCCGAACGATTTAGTAACGAACGGATATAGTTGTAAACGTCGTCCCAGTATTCGACAATTGCTTCTTGAACGTTAATCTCCTGTATCCAGAGATTGTCATTGATTTGGATCTGTTTTTCTTTTCGCTGGTGGACGAGTTTTTCCTGGTTATCAAAAGCGTCACGGAGTGAATGCGCTACATCAAGTGAGATTACGATCGTCTTATAGCCGAGCTGAGAGAGTTTGATACCCGTGGCAGCGGCGATAGTGGTTTTGCCGACCCCACCTTTACCCGTATAAAGGATAATTCGCATTATTGAGTTCCTATGTATTGTAATTTGTATGGGACTTTTATAGTATAACATAAAAGAAGCCAATATGCAAAGAAGTGTTGAATCAGGGCTATTTAGTTTTCGGTTTTTAGCCCGATTTTGGACCCCCCAGGCCCGGTAGGCGCGGTTTGGAACCGCGCCGAGCTTGAAAAAGAGGATCCAAAAATTTAGACAATCCGAGAATTTGTTTAAAACTAAATGACCCTGGTGTTGAATATACCGAAATATTTGCATTAAAAGTCAGAATAAGGTATAATAATATTTGAACAACATCACGGGGTGCTCTTATCTGCTTAAGAGCTGAGAAAACACCCATTGAACCTGATCTGGGTCATGCCAGCGTAGGGAAATAGGAAGAAGGGCGAATTTCATCCCTTCTTAAGCGACTTTAGCAATTGGAGTATCCACAGGTTACACCTTCGATTGCCAACCTCTTGCGATGAGACGCGGAGCCGCTTCCTTTTGGCATATACCCAAAACGGAAGACGGCTTTTTTGCGTTAAGGAGTAGAGACGCATGTTCAGCAAATTCGCGGTCCCTGTGGCTATCCTATTCGCAGTATTAGCGTATGGGAAGGAGCCGTGCATTTTCGAGATACCGCGCTACATTTTGCCAGCACCCTCGAAAATTGTGGTGACGCTATTTGTGGAACATTCGCAATTACTGAAACATACGCTTGTAACCTTGGAAGAGATGCTCCTTGGGTTTGTCCTCGCGAGTTAGCATCGGCATTCCGTTAGCCGTGCTGATGTTTGAGTTTCCGATGCTGGAGAAAGCCTTCTATCCGTATGTTATCGGTTCACAAACGGTGCCGGTGTTTGCTATCGCGCCATTGTTAGTACTGTGGTTCGGATTCGGGATTGCCTCAAAAGTAGTCATGGCGGCACTGATTGTGTTTTTCGCGATCGTGCTGAACACATTAGACGGTTTGAAGTCCACCGATCCGGACACGGTAAACCTGTTTCGGATTTTGCGGGCGACTCGGTGGCAGATACTTTGGAAAGTGCGTATCCCGTCGGCATTGCCGTTTTATTTTTTCCGGCGCGAAGATCGGTATATCAATTTCTACGATTGGCGCGGTCATCGGTGAATGGGTGGGAGCGGAGGCAGGACTCGGGTACCTTATGTTGTATGCAAATGGACGGATGCAGATTTCACTCGTATTTGCCGCCATTTTCTGTTTAACACTTTTAGGTTTAAGTCTCTTTGGATTGATGACGCTGTTGGAGCGTTACGCAATGCCGTGGCGACATCAGCACAACACATTAGATACTCGGTAGGCGTGTCTCACGCCTATCGGACAATCAGAAAGGAAAATTATCATGAGAACAGCAATTTGCTTAATGTTTTTCATCGGTTGTGGTATACTTTTAAGTTGTCAAAAAGCTGAAATGGAGAAGGTTACGTTGCTTCTCGATTGGTCTCCTAACGTAGATCATGCACCGCTTTATGTCGCGCAAGAGCACAAGATTTTTGCCAAACACGGGTTGGAAGTCGAATTACTTTGGGGAGGCGACCCAGATGCCCCACTCAAACTGGTAGCGGCAGGCAAATACCCGTTTGCTGTTAGTTATCAACAGAGCGTCACGATTGCACGGGCAAGTGAAGAAACTTTGCCTGTCAAATCAATAGGCTTACTCGTGGAACACCCGCTCAACACGATTAGCTTCTTGAAGAAAACGGGCATTAAAACGCCTATAGACTTCAAAGGAAAGAAAATCGGATATACGGTGGCACCTTTGGATGTGCTTCTATTTAACGCGATCGCTGCGAACGCCGGATTAACAGAAGATGACTATGAATTGTAAACGTAGGCACGAATATTTTGGCACCTCTCCTAAGCGGTCAAATTGACGCAGTTATCGGGCCCTTTCGGAATTATGAGATTAACTTGTTGAAACTTGAAGGAGCAGAAGCCGATTATTTGGCACTTGAAAAGCACGGTATTCCGGACTATTATGAATTAGTCATCATCACTAATGACGCTTATTTGGAAGAACATCCAGAAACTGCTAAAAAACTGATGATGGCGATTCAGGAAGCAATTCAGTTCACGAAAGAAAAACCAGATGATGCGCTACAACTCTTTTTTAAGGCAAATCCGGATGCCAGCAAAGAATTAGAAAAACTCGCTTTTCGGGATACGTTGGATCTATTCGCAACAACGCAGGTGCAATCTGAAGAAAAGTGGGCTGCGTTCGCAAAATTCGCATATCAAAAAGGGTTGATCTCTAAAGCAGTTGAAGCAAAAGATTGTTTCGTGAATGTTTTAGGAGAATAGTTTTAGCTTACATTGATCGGGAGCGAAAACGCCATAATAAAAAAATGGCAAATAAAAAAGATTCTTATCATCGGGGGTGGTGTGATTGGACTCGGTGTCGGGTGGCAGCTTGCGAAAGCGGGTGCTGCCGTCACCATTTATGATCGCGCTGAAGCCGGGCGTGCTGCTTCTTGGGCAGCCGCTGGTATGCTCGCGCCACTCGCTGAAGCACATAGCGAAGAACCAGAACTCCTTAAACTCGGCTGCCAAAGCTTAGAACGTTATTCGCAATGGGTCGTCGAATTAGAGGCAGACGCGCAGATGTCTGTCGGCTATCGGGTGGAAGGCACGCTCATCGTTGGATTAGAGCCTGATGATACACATCAACTTCGGCACCTCTACACTGCACAACAAGATTTAGGATTAGATGTCGAGTGGTTGACCGGACGAGAAGCGTGTGAAATTGAGCCGGTCCTTTCGCCTCGCATAACTGCAGCCATCCGCTGTGCAACCGACCATCAGGTTGACAATCGGCTGATGGTAACAGCATTGCAACGTGCTTACCAGAGATGCGGCGGTGTGTTGCATGAAAACAACGCGGCCGAAAATATCCATATTGAAAACGGTGTTGCGACCGGTGTCCAGACACAAGACAGCGGAACACAAAACGCTGATGTTATTGTGCTGTCAGCCGGATGCGAATCGGCACAGATTGACGGACTTCCAGCTGCCATCCGTCCGCCAGTGCGTCCCGTGAAAGGGCAAATGTTGGCATTGCAGATGGAAGCCGGGATTACGGTCAAAAACGTCATCCGCACCGTCAGAGCAAGGTATCCGACATCGGTATATCTGGTGCCGAGAACTGATGGCAGACTTATCGTTGGTGCCACGAGCGAGGAGATGGGATTTGACACGCGTCTAACCGCTGGCGGTATGTTTGAACTCCTTCGTGGGGCGTGGGAAGCGGTGCCGGGTGTTTACGAACTGCCGATTCTGGAGACATGGACGGGTTTACGTCCCGGTAGCAGAGACAACGCACCTATACTCGGCAAAACACCTGTTGAAAATCTGATATATGCAACGGGGCATTATCGCAACGGTATTCTACTTACGCCTGTTACGGCTTACGAGATAGCCAAACTAATTTTGACAGGTGAAACTTCAGAGACAATCGCTCCCTTCCAGTTAGACAGGTTTTTAAGGTAGTAGGCACACGCCGTGTGCCGTAACCACTCTTGGAAAACAATGAAAATACGCGTGAATGGCGAAGAAAAAACAGTTCATCCGAATTTAAACATTTACGAACTGCTCATCGCTTTAGAACTGAATCCGATGCAGGCAGGCATCGCTGTCGCCGTAAACCGGGAGGTTATTCCCGAAAACGGAGTGGCGCGGAACCCCCCTTCGTGAAAACAGTGATGTAGAGATTATCCGTCCCGTCCAAGGGGGTTAGTGCGTCTACAAAGCCAACCAACAAAGACGGACAGACATAATTTTATCGCTTGATATAGCGGTCTTGCAGGTGTTATACTAATAGGACTTACGCAGTCCCCCTTGCTGGCGAGGTTTCCTAACCTCGCCAATGGCGCAATATGTAGCGTTTCATGGAAAAATTGCGTAAGTCCTAACTAATTTAAAAATTTCTCGTGGATAACTGTAGGCAGAACACCATGAAAAGCCAAGAGATTCGTTGGATTCAACGCGCGAATAGTTTTGAGAGGGCTTTCGCTCGATTAAAGGCAGCAGTCAAGCTTGCGGAACAACGGGAACTCTCAGACTTAGAAGCACAAGGATTGATACAAGGATTTGAATACACGCATGAACTTGCTTGGAAGACGCTGAAGAACTTCCTTGAAGCGCAAGGTACAGTGAATCTGTACGGTTCGCGCGACACAACCCGAGAGGCTTTTAGGAACGGTCTGATTGAAAACGGCGAAGCTTGGATGGACATGGTTGACAAACGCAACTTAACCTCGCATACTTACGATGAGGAAACTGCAGCCCAAGTTGTCACTGCTATCTGCACTACTTATTTTCCTGAATTTGAAAGGTTCCTCGTTCACTTGGAACAGTTGAAAGAGGCAGGAAACCTTTAAAAATGAAATACGGCTTTATCTAACCAGACGCTCCAAAAAATCCGCGATGTTTTCGTTCAATATCCGCAGGTAGAAGAGGTGGTGTTGTACGGTTCGCGCGCCAGAGGTGACTATAAAAACGGATCTGATATTGACCTAACGCTTCGCGGTGGGGATGCGCTGACACACACAATCCTCTCCCGAATCGCGAATGATCTGGATGATCAGCTGCTACCTTATACCATCGATTTGTCTATCTTTGAGAACATCCGTAACCCTGAAATGGTTGAACAGATTGAACGTATCGGCGTACCACTCTACAAAAAATAGGGTTTTAGCCAGTAGGTCTCGGAAATAACTGAGCAAACCCAATCATTAAAAATATGCAAGAATTCAAAATCGCAGACCAAACTTATACATCAAGGCTACTTATTGGAACAGCAGGTTACCCGAGTTTCCATATAATGACGGAGGCTATCGCCGCGAGTGGTGCCGAAATCGCGACGGTGTCGATGCGTCGTGTGAAATTTACGGACACCTCCGGTGAAAACCTGTTCGCGCTCCTACGTGAACGTGGTATGACGATCCTCCCGAATACCGCTGGCTGTTTCACAGCGAAGGACGCGATCCTAACTGCGAACCTTGCGCGCGAAGCACTTGAGACATCGCTTATCAAACTCGAAGTTATTGGGGATGAACAGACGCTATTCCCGGATGTGGAGCAGCTGCTCAGTGCAGCGGAAACATTGGTCAAAGACGGTTTCACTGTGCTTCCATATTGTAATGATGATCCGATTACTTGTAAGAAATTGGAAAACATCGGTTGTGCAGCGGTGATGCCACTGGGTGCACCGATTGGCTCAGGGATGGGGATCCGTAATCCGTATAACATCCAGATTATCCGAGATCTCGTACAAGTGCCGCTCATTGTGGATGCCGGTGTCGGGACAGCATCGGATGCAGCGATAGCGATGGAGTTAGGCTGTGACGGTGTTCTGCTCAACACGGCAGTCGCGAAAGCACATCGTCCCGTACTGATGGCGGAGGCGATGAAAAAAGCGGTTGAAGCAGGTAGAGCAGCATTTTTAGCAGGACGTATCCCTCGGAAACTCTACGCGACTGCCTCAAGCCCACAAACGGGAATGATTGAATAAAAACAAAGCCGCTTTTGTCAACAAAAGATCAGCGTAACTGAGTGAAGACACACTTACAACTTGAAAATTTATCTTGATACGTGTTGTTTGAGTCGACCATTTAATGATCAGACACCAGCAAGGATTCGTCGAGAAACGGAAGCTATTGAAATAATCCTCAAAAATTTCAGTACAGGCGATTGGCACTGGATTATTAGCGGAGTTCTAACGCTTGAAGTTGACAATAACCGAGATGTGAGTCAACGCATCCAAATAAAATCTCAGATGGCCGATGCATACATAAACGTTTCGATTCGTGAGATAGAAAGAGCAAGGGGTAGAGATCTTGAAAAGTTAGGGTTCAAGCGATTAGATGCTTTGCACCTTGCGTGTGCAGAAAGAGGCAATGCGGATGTCTTTCTCACAACAGATGACCGGCTCCTCAGAAGGGCAAAAAGGCTCAGTTCCAAATTGCACGTCCGAGTCGAAAACCCCTATGATTGGCTACAGACAGGAGATAACTAGAAATGAATGTACTAAAAATGACAGATAATGAGGTTTACCAACTTGGAATCGAAGCACTCGCGAGTAAACTTGGCACCGCTGGCGTGCCACGGTTCCTTAAGCAGATTCAACCGTGCACTGGCGATTACTCGGTTGAACGGCATGAATGGCTGGATAATTTGCCAGACATAGACACTCTCGTTGAACAAATTCACCAAGCAAATAAAGAAGCAAAAGCCGAACAAAACCGCATATCCAAACTGAAAACTTATATTTTTAGGAATGGGAAACCATTGGCAACACGTATCCGAGAAATCTCAGATGAAGACCTTTACAGACTCGGACTTGAAGCACTCATAGATAAACTGAGTATTGCTGGAATGCCGAGGTTCATCCGGCTCTGCACACCAGGGACGGGACCCTACGCTGCCGACACCCAGAAACTGTCCGAACTGGATATAGTGCCGACTGCCCAAGAGGCTAAAAATGAACATCCGAGAAACGAAAAATGAAAAAATTAACTTTCTCCTTCGTGACATGCCTCCTCATCTTTATAGAACTGGGTGTGAGCAGCGTGCGCGCCCAATTTCAACCCGAACTCGGACAGAGTCTCCTTGAAAAGAAACCCGAAACGTCAGAAGCTGATCCCGCAGAACTGACACTCAATGCCCATTTCTCCAATACGTTTAACAATCATATTGAACTCGGATTGAGTGTGGATCCCTACACGAGCAGCCTCGCCGGGCAAGAAGATCCGCAACTTTCAGGTATGATTAACCGCTTCGGTGTTAACTTAGGTGGAGATTTACCGATAGCCGATAAACTTCGAGTCAAATTACAATATACCGCCTCAGTTGAAAAACTACACGGTGCCGCCGCGAAAGAAACTCAAACGAATGATGCGTTCAGTAACATCCTTTCAACTGAACTTAGTTTTAAGCCTGTTACAAGTTTACCATCCCTCGTTGCTTCGTATCAGTGTAACAACGTTTC